AAAGTACGAGGACAAAATCCAATCGTGAATTTATTCATGATGAAATCATGTTTGCGATGAAAAGTGGATCGGGGATGAAAATTTATTACAACGTCTCGTCACCGCATTTCAAAGCGACAGAATCGGTCGTCGAGATCAATGATAACGAGTGCCAGGAAATGTAACATCTAAATTCTCTCTTTTTCTCTTTCACTTTGTCCCCTACTTCATTCCTTTCCTTCTGTTTTTCAAAGCGCGATATTTAAAGGCTTTGCCTGTAGTCCGTCTGTTTTAGTTGGACGATATAAATACAATGGCCAAAACCCGACGGATTCTCTCTCTCTCTCTCTCTCTGCTTCTCATTCTTTCTTTTTATCTCTTTCTCTCTCCCTCCCTCGCTCGATCTCTCGCTGCGAATAAACGTTGAATTTTCCGACATCGTCAACCATCTCGAACGTTCACGAAAACGGTTTGGAACAAACCGTAAGCATGATGACGATGCTCGAAATTAAGCGAGCTTCGTATTTCGTTTTTCTTTTATCTTACTCGTGGTTTCTTCTTTCTTCTTTTTTCTTTTTTTCTTTTTTTTTGTTTTTTGTTTTCTTCTTCTTCCTCTCCTTTAAGGAACTGTATTCCCAAGCGCAAGAAAAGAAAAAAAAAAAAGAAAGAGAAAAAGAAAAAAGAGAAATATTTCATCGAAGAGCAACGAGAATGCTTACAACAAGATTCGAAAGATAAATCGTTTAGGGAAGAAGTATAACGTTTAATGACATTTTGTATTTTTTTTTTTTTTTTAAATCCTTCATCCATAATGTCATATATACGTTTTATCGAATCCATCCATGTTCATGATTATAATCGTAATCACATGATATACAATCATTATGTTATTATAACGTCTGATCGTAATAATGATATTCATTAAAAATTACAAATAGAACAATAGGGACGTTTTATTGATCACTATGATATCCAAGATGAAATAATTTTAGAAATGAGTTATATGTTTTATCTAAATGGATTAACATTTTGATCGTATTAATAATCCTTTCAAAAATGAAATAGTCATACCCATTGGCAACAAGATTTAGTCGTCGTAAAAATGATGATAGCATTGCTCGCGATATCAAATAATTCGTTATTATTATTTTAATATACGCAAAAGAGAGAGAGAGAGAGAGAGAGCGACGCCATTGTTCTTCATGCGATCGTAAAGCGTTTTCAAAGCGCATTATGATTTTTTAAATTTATATCTGTTACTAGGACTCAAATTAAAAAAGTCGAGTTAAAAAATTGACTTTAAATAAGAAGAAACGAGTATTATCATCGAAAGTATCACGTAAAAAGTATTTAATGTCGAATGTAAAAAAAAATTTTCTCATTTCACGAAGCTTACGTATATAATGTTTTATTCGACGAATAAAAATGATAACAGCAACGTGAACGTACAAGTTTTTTTCCTTTCCTTTCTTTTTTTTTTTCTTTCTTTCTTTCTTTCTTTCTTTCTTTCTTTTGCCTTTGTTTCGTTGTGTTTCTTCTTTTTTTTTTTATTTTTCTTATTCTTTTTTTTTCTTTCACGTTTTAACTTTATTACAATGTTTTACATCGTTCAGAAAAGATATCTTTAAACAGTCAAAAGTGTGTGTCTGAGAGAACGAGAGAGAAAGAGAGAGAAAGAGAGAGAGAGAGAGAGATTTATAGTGACGTTCCATATAAAAGTTTTTATATGATTTCATGGGATACATAAAATGAGAAATGACGGAATTAATATTTCTCTATTCTAATAGTTGATTCACAGAACCACAGAAGATACGAATATATTGTTTGTAGATGTTAATTCCTATGATTATATCATTCCTATGTTTCCTATGAATCTCTCTGTCATGAATTATTGTAAATTTACATTGAAGAAAATCCAAAATCGATGACTAATGATGTATCATTTATTTTTGTTTGTTATTGAAAATTTATAATCATCGTTAATGCGATTGCAATTATGGAATTAATTTAAAACTATATAAACATTGGTTCTCTCCTGATCGTATCGATATTCGCTTATGTACGTGCTGCACGCGAACTATAAAACGACACGTATCTCGTGACGTCACGCGCTCGTCGACCATTATCATGACTTTTTAAATATTCACGAGAAATAATACTTGTAATTTTTATGCATCAATCGATATTTTACAAACGAGATTCTTTCATATTCATAAAATCAATCAAAAATTTTTTCCCTTATTCATTATATTTTATATACGTACGAATATAGATCAAATATATCTGTGAGAATTATTTTTGTAATAGAAACATTTTCTTTTCTTTTATATATTTTTTTTCCTCACCAATTTTTTCCTTTTCCAGTAAATCTCAAACGAAGTTACATGCAATTGATATAAATTACTTGAAAACGTTCTCTTTCTTGTCTTTTTTTTTTTTTTCTTTTTTTTTCTCTTTTGTTTTCTTTTTTTCTTCACAAAGATTATACCCCTCGTCTGATATGTAAAAGGTCTGAACGTAAAGATTTGAAGGCACAAAGGTAGTAGGAAAAAACGAGATAATATTTCGATTTAAAGGAGAACAAAAAAGAGAACATACACACACATACACATACACACACACACACACACACACACACACACACACATACACTAACGATCTAATATTGTCTTGTTTTAGGAAAAAATTTTATATTGTTTACTTCGTCATGAATAATATATTCAAAGGGGGGGGGGCGATGGGGGAGGGGGCGAATGTCGATACAACGAGATGAACGGAAAGGAAATAAAAAAGAGAAAAGAAAAAAGAAAAAAGGAAAAAAAAAAGACGAAGCGGGAAGTAACAGAGAACAGGAAGATAGTATTGAATTCACAAATATCACGAGGGTGATCTATAGTTTTTTTAACAGTAAAAGAAAGATAGGTGGATGAAATGGAATGAGAGAGAGAGAGAGAGAAAGAGAGAAAGAAAGAGAGTGAGAGAGAGAGAGAAAGAGAGAGAACAAAGAAAGTACCCTTTTACCCATTCTATCATCCCTTTATCACCCCATGCGGTTAATTTCCGTTTCGTAGAAGTGTTGTGCGTGACGCGCGAAATGAAAGCGGAAAAAATGCATCGGTGAGGTATCGAACGTATATCCTCTGTCCATCACGTGAACGAATAGAGAAGCCGCGAGAGATTGTAATTATATAAAGAAATAATTTACAGTTCGCTACTATGGCGTCGCAAGTTACACACGATTGATAATGGTAATGGTGATGGTGATGGTGGTGATGGTGATGGTGATGGTAGTGGTAGTGGTAGTAGTGGTGGTAGTAGTGGTGGTAGTAGTGGGTGTTAGAATTACGTGTGCTTTATATGCTTCGGCACCCTTATGGAAATTTCCTCTCTTCTCTCGAGCTTACGTTATACACTATCTATCGGTCAAAGTAATACAACTTTTCTCTTCGTGCATATATTTCTTTTTATATATATATATATATATATATATATATATATATATTTCTTTATATATATATATATATATGTATAAAGAAAATAAGAAAAAGGAAATAAAATAATTGTATTCATATCTGCGTTATCTTTTTTCTTTGTTTTTTTCTTCTTTCTTTCTTCTTCATCTTTCTTTTCTTTTTGTATCGGTTTTCTTTTTGTTTCTTTTTTTTTTTCTTATTCGTAAATTCTACGATTCACGAAGTTTGTACTCTTACAACGCTTATTGCTACTCACGTTTCACTCTCTTGTTTTATTAAAAATGATGATGGGGAATAGAGGAGAGAGAGAGACAGAGAGAGATGGAAAAGAAGAGAAGAAAAAATAAGAGAAAAAAAAGCGTTCGTTAATAAAATTTCTCACGAAGTTATTAGATATTTGTTTTCCTTAGAATATACGATGTTTATACATACTTTCTAATCTTTATTCGTTCAATTTTCGATCATAGAAGTGATTCTAAGCACGGACTTGTTTTTTGATTTAAAAAAGAAAGAAAGAGAGAGAGAGAGAGAGAAAAAAATAAGAAAAAAAAAGAAAAGAAAGAAAAAAAAGAAAGGAAGAAGGAAACTCACGCGTTGTCGGATGATAACATGTATGGTATGTTTATTGAAAGCTCAAGTTATGGGATCTTTATTATATTGCACTGTTTTTTTTTAAATAGGATTGAAACTTTTTCGTTTCAATTTGTTTTCATTGTCGATTTTACAAACGTCATGAAAAATAGAATAGATATTTTGGCGTTACGATTATTAGATAATTCGAAAGAATTCGATCGAAATAATCTTCCTTAATATTTTCTTTTTCTTCTTCTTCTTCTTCGAAATACATAATATTTATCGGCTTTTTATTATATTTCTGGTTTGTTAAAATTCAAAACGTAACATTTCTATCGTGGTTCTATTTTGAATTCGTAAGAGTGATATGAAGTTCTCATTCTGATAATTATGTTTGGCGGTGCATAAAATAAGCACGTCGCAAATCATACTGATTGTCAACGAGGCATCTAATTTGGCGCAATAGAATTAATAAAAATTTTTCTATTAATATTCGCTCACGATTAAATCTCATGATAAACAAACGCTAATATATATATATATATATATATATATATATATATATATATATATATATATCTCGGTTATAATCGATCGACGATAAACGCCTGATATTCGTTAATCTACAAAAATGATATCTAATGATAGTAATTAAATTAGTAGAGATGAAAATACGATAGAAATCGATTTTTATTTCTATTAAAAAATCGATATATAAATGATCTATAAATGATTCTGAGAATAACAACGATTAAGTATGTCACGAAATTCGTACAATTTTTTTTCTTTTTTCAATTGCGTTAAAGAAGTTGTATTAGTTATAATTAATTCAAAAGAATTCAATTATATTTTGAATTCTTTTCATTTATTCGAATTTCGAATTGAAATGAATGTTAAAAAAAGAAAAAGAAAAAGAAATAGTTTCATAGCCAACATTATTTAGAATAATTATACGTATATTATAATAATGCTTACCCCCTTTTAAAAAAGGCGTACGAAAAAGAAAAAGAGAAAGGGAGAAAGAAAGTCACTGGTATCAAATTTCACAGTGAAATTTTTAAGCACAAAATTTTTTTCCCTCCTTTTTTTTTTTTTTTTTTTTTTTTTTTTCGTTATATACAAATCGTCAATCGGATAATAAAGAATCGATTAGAAAACACACACTCTTAACTAGGATAACCGAACGCGCTGACCGCCGGTCTGACACTGATCGCGTTCTGACTACTTCCCTTGGCGCTCGGTAGTTTCAGTGTAAAGAGGGGAGGGAATATGGCAATGCACAGTGGGGGTGTACCACCAAACAACGTCTTAATGTATTATAATTAAATGAGATAAAACGTGATAACAAATATTACATAGATATCTATATATATATATATAAATATGTAATAATTAATGAAAGAAATAGTTTCGCAAATTATCAAGATATTTTTTTAAGTAATGAAAATAATAAAATATTTAATTCTCCGAAAAATAGAACGATGTTTATTAAATATTCGCATAATAATTTTTAATTTTAATTAAATTTTTTAAGTAATGAAAATAATGAAATATTTAATTCTCCGAAAAATAGAACGATGTTTATTAAATATTCGCATAATAAAAATTTCACAAGAACAATTGTATATTGTTGTGCAATCGCATTGGTATTAATGGAATTGTTTATTTGATTTGTTTCTTTTTTTTCTTCTTTCTTTTTTTTTGCAAAATCCTATAGTTTTCGGATCTCTTAAGATTCTTTTTTTTTTTTCACATGTAATCATGTAAATTATGAAGTTTGAATGGAAACAGAATCATCATCATTTCATTCTATGACAATCTCATGTAACATTTCATTAATGGATTGTACCGATGGAACATTATTAAATTTCCAATAAATTTATTACGATTCTTGAGTAATACGGATATCATAGTTACATAATAAAAATTTCAAATCTCACATTCGTCATATAGTCAAATTGAAATTGTTTTCATCGTCGTTGTATTTATTACAATGCCAAAATTTTCTACTTTCCGTCAATTCAATAATTTGCCTCGAAATTGTAACGTCGACGATTAAAGTTTATGAAATAATTTAAAAATTGTATTTGTCGTACGTTATCATTGAAAAATGACTCGACGATAATTGACATTTTAGATTTTATGATACAATCTAACGCCATGTCAATCATTTCACGTATATTAATGTATCAATCCATTTCCAAATGAAATTTCAAAAAGAAATAATTTCTTTAATATTTTCTAACACAAGTACGATCTTAATGACATTCAAAGCATTAAAATTTTCATAAATAAAAAAGTAAAAACTTTGCAGATTATATAATAATCTATATAAAATTATTTATTATAAACTTCATCGCAATATATCGTTTGCATATAAACTAACATGTATCTTGAGCGCATCGAGAAATAAAATGTCAGTCATATATAAAATATTCTGAAATACTTTACCTTGTCATTTATAAATTATAATGTAAATTATTAGAGTTAAAGTACCCATGGAAAGATAACTGTTTGCTGAATATATTTATGCGCGTGAAAATGAAATGTTTCTTCGTTTATTTACTTACGGAAAAAACATTTTTCCTTCGAACAAACATATTTATGGCGATCAATGAAATCGATAGAAATAACGGAGATATATGGTAAAAATATGAGAAATTAAATTAATTATTTTTTGTCTAAAGATAATTAATATTATTACGTGATAATGAGTGAAGTGTAATGAAAGATTAATAAAAAAAAAAAAAAAAAAAAAATAAGACGCTTTATAAATAAAGGAAACACGGTGTTATACTAAACAGCCTGTATAGAAAGGTCAAAGAGCACATTAGAAATTGGATTGACCATGTGTAATATTTTCTATGTCTTTATTTTTTTTTTTCCTCTCTCTTTATTAAATATATTTTTCTTTTGTTAAATTATCTCTCAAACGAAAGAGATTTTCTTCATGAATCGTCGATTTTCTACGTTATTATTGAAATCGAAGATTTTAAAGGCATCAACAACGACAATGTATATAATAAAAAGTGTGTTCGTTCATTCGAAGTTTTGATTGAATATCTTTCAATTCCATTTGAAATATAACTAGAATCATATATTTTCCTGCGTGTACGTATCTGTCGTATAAATATTTCATGTATTACAGTAAAATATCGATTGGATAAAATTTAATAAGATGTTAAACAAATTTCATCTAAACTATACTGCTTATGTTCTATTCTATTAAATATTCATAGATTTAAGGATTGGTTTAACCATGACATTAGAGAATAAGCTTAATAATGGCAAATAAGTGATCATGAAACATTCAAAATGAATTTCTTTATTTTTTGACGAATTCTTTTTTGCTTTCTCAAGTATTTGAAGAGAAAAAAACAAAAACAATAATGTTTCTTCAATACGCTTGTTCTTGATTTCGCGAGCTTATAGATCTTCAATTTTTTTTTTCGAGAGCTTGAAACAACAAAAATACGACGAATTTGTAAAAAAGAAAGAAAAAATTAAAATATAACATAAATTAAAATTATTTTATATTTAACGCATCTTACGAATTACCAAATATTTAATTAAATGCGCTATTGTATAAATATTAGTTTATTGTACTCCGTGTATATTGTACGTTGTTTAAATAATTATAAAATTATTGAAAGTATAAGTTATTTAAATTTAATCTGATATTTATATTTATTTGAATGCAAATAAATACAAATGCAATAACTAAACATAATTCTTTGATATTCCTATTTTGTGTATTATATTATATATATATATTTGCGTAGATCAATATTAATTTTATATACTTATATTTTAATAATTACAAATACTACTATCTAATTTATGGAATTATTATGTAGCTAGAAGAATAGTTCACTTTTTCTTCATTCATACTTTTACCGCCATTTTAATATCGAATAAAAATCGTTCCTTTCGATATATCGATTATAACCTTTAGCTCGATGTATACTGTATTCCGTTTTGTGGAATAGTTCGCTTCTATGCATAGTAAGAGGAGGTTCGTGATAAATTACAGATTATTATTCAAGTTATTTTTTTAATATTGTTTTATAAAAGAAGATAAAAATATGACGGAAGATAAAACAGAATTTGTAAGTAGAAATCGTATAAAGCGTTTATTTATACCGATAGCTTTATGATATATTATTTTATGGCCTTAGATAACCTCACTTTTTTTTTGATGAATGCTTCAATACAAATATATAACAAATCGTTTATAAATTCTCTTTTAGAAACGTTCAATATATGCATATTATTGTAAATAAATATATTATTGTTTTATCTGTAAGAAAGTATTAAGTTTGAATAATTTTATTTTATAAAATACGCGTATAAATATGTATTTTTTAGGATTGGGGCAATGAAAAGTTACAACGTGCTCAAAAAACGGTGGATGAATCTCCATACGATTTAGAAGCTTGGAGTGTTCTAATCAGAGAAGCTCAAAATAGGCCTATTACAGAAGTTCGACCGATCTTCGAAAAACTTATTTCCGTATTCCCATCTGCTGGCCGCTATTGGAAAATTTATATAGAACAAGAGGTATAATAAATTATGGACAATTTGCAATTAAATAGATTTTTATATAATCGACATTTGTATAAAATACCATTCTTTATTGTCTTACAGATGAAAATGCGGAACTTTGAAAAGGTTGAAAAGGTATGTTAACATAACTGTCTGTGTTTTCAAATTTAAGTAAAAATAAATTAAATGTTTATGCCAACACGATATTTAAGTTGTTCAGTTAAAATATATAAAGACAATTTATATAAAAATTATTTAATTATCAACTATTTCATATCTTTCATAATAAATAATTTTTGCTTTTATAAAAATTCAAGACATAATTTGAGTTTACACAATTGTTCTTAATTATATATATATATATATATTTTTTTTTTTATAAAATGCAGTATAGATAATATATTTGCACTGCGTGATAATATTATATAATTAATTACTATAAGTAAACTCAAGTTTAAATTCAGAATTCATAGAAAAGTATAAAAGAATGGTGCTTTTAACTGAACAACATTACTTATTGATGTTTAAGTTTTCTTTTTTACAGTAGCACCACAAATTATAATGTCAAACTAACTTAAAGTGTTCCAATATTATCTTACAATGTGATACACAGCACTTTACATATCATGTGAGGTGAATAAAAGCATTTTATTTCACCATAAGTCAATTATTTCATTAATTAATAACTGATCTGTTGATACATTTGGGAGGTTGTTTTCTTATGTAAGCAATAGGCTATATTATTTTATTTCTATGTGATAAAAAGAAAATATATGAAAATTATTTATTGCATGAAACGACTTAAGAAGACAACTTTCTGAATATAACAGCCTTGTATTCCTTCCTGCGGTACATTTGTTACATATATTAGTTGTGTTTAGATTACCTTTCACAAAGTGACAAATGATTCTGAATTTAACAAATACAGAATATCTACTGTGGAACTTAAAGTGGCACTTTATGCGTTCAATTGCTCCTATAACCTGAATATTATGATATTTTATTATTTCATCTACAAAGATAAATTTGTAGTTGATCGGTCTAATCAATTACCAAATTCCAAAGATTCCCAGCAGACCCTATCCAGTAACAATTATTTGAGACGTTATAGATTAACGTTCTCAAGTATTGTGATACTATTTAAAGAGGTAGCATAAGGTGATGATGTTGTTTTAATTGACAATCTATTAAAATCTACTTTGAATTACTATTATGTGTAATATTAATAATATAGCTTTTCTATTCACCATATGTTGCTTCGTGTTGTCTTCGTTTTTTTTCTATCGTTTGGGGATCATTCATTTCTAGATCCCACATAGGTTTGCAAAATTTTTACGTGGTGGCCCCACCTAAAAAAAAAAAAAAAAGAAGAAAAGAAAAAAAGAAAAGAAAAAAAAATAAATAAATATTCTTTATTTTGTGTGGGGCTTATTTTATAGTAATTGTAAAACAATGATAACATCCATTAAAAGATTTTTTATTCGATATATAGAAATATTGAAGAATATGTTTATGCAATAAATCATTCTTAATAGATGCATTTGTGCATTATTATTTATCCCAATATATATGTCTATATATATAAATATATATACAAATACACAAAGATATATGCATATACATAATATTATAATCATTGTATATTGTTACATATTTTGCATAATAAATAATGAATTTA